CCCAGCCAACCTACCACTGCTCCCAGCACAAAGGAAGCTTCTGGGTCAATGTGCCACAGCTCCCAGTGCAGAGTAGGAAGCTTCTGGGTCAACCTACCACCACTCCCAGCACAGAGGAGGCTTCTGGGTTGACTTGCCACAGCTCCCAGCCCAAAGGAGGAGGATTCCGGGTCAACATGCCACAGCTCCCAGTGCAGAGTGGGAGGCTTCCTGGCCAACCTACCACCACTCCCAGCACAGAGGAGGCTTCCAGGTCGACTTTCCACAGCTCCCAGCACAGAGTAGGATGCTTCCAGATCAATGTGCCACAGCTCCCAGTGCAGAGACGGCAGCTTCTGGGCCAACCTAACACCACTTCCAGCACAGAGGAGATGATGCAGGTGCCAGCACCACCCTCCCTCCCCTGCCATCGAAAGGAGAAGACATGTGAACAAGCCTCAGAACTAGACTTCCAGATCACCTAAAGCAACACCAAAGGGAAATGAGATAGAACACCCTGATACTCAACCACCTGGACTCCCTGAACTGGCAACAAACAAGAATCTGGAAAAAATGAAACCAGAAATAATTTCTCAGATGAGAGCAGAGATTGTGCCCATAGTGCAAGACATGATTAATAAATCTGGAGAGGACACAGATAAAGAAAATAGAGGATCTGAGGAACATGATGGAATCTCAACATAGGAAACAAATGGAATCCATAAAACACATGCAAACAGATTTGCGGGAGATTAAAAACTCCACTGAAAGCAACCTTATGAGGGAAATTCATAACAGTAAATACTCATATTAGGAAAACAGAGAGAGCCCAATTAAACAACCTGATGTTGAACCTCAAGCTTCTAGAAAAAGAAGAGCAGGACAACCCCAAAACTCATACAAGGGAGGAAATTATAAAGATTAGAGCAAAAATCAATGCAATGGAGACTAAGAGAATAATACAAAAAAATCAATGAAGCCAAGAGCTGGTTCTTTGAAAGAATCAACAAAATTGACAAACCCTTAGGAAACCTTATCAGAAAAAGGAAAGAAAAGGCCCAAATCCATGCAATTAGCAATGAAAAGGGTGTAATTACAACAGACCCAGCAGAAATCCAGAGGATCATCAATACCTACTTCGAAAACCTATACGCCAATAAGATGGAAAACAGAAAAAATGGACAGATTCCTAAATAAGTGTGAATTACCAAAGTTGAATGAAGAAGACCTAAAAATTCTAAACAACCCAATATCAATCAATGAAATTGAAAACTTAATTAAAAACTTACCAACTAAGAAAAGCCTGGGGCCTGATGGCTTCACTGCTGAATTCTACAAGACATTTAGAGAGGAACTACTGCCACTACTTTTTAAACTCTTCAGTGAAATTGAAAGCGAAGCAATACTCCTGAATTCATTCCTGGAAGCAAGCATCACCTTGATCCCCAAAGCAGAGAAAGACCAAACTGAGAAAGAGAACTATAGGCCAATCTCACTAATGAACACAGGTGCAAAAATCCTTAATAAGATACTGGCAAATAGAATGCAGAAGATCATCAAGAAGATCACACACCGTGACTAAGTGGGATTCATCCCAGGGATGCAGGGATGGTTCAACATACACAAATCAGTAAATGTAATATGCTGTATCAATAGAGCCAAAGACAAAAACCACATGATCATCTCAATAGATGCAAAAAAAGCATTTGACAAAATCCAACACACATTTATGATAAAAGCCCTACAAAAAAATTTGAATAGACGGTTTCTACCTCATTCTGATAAAAGCCATCTATGAAAAACCAACAGCCAATATCATACTAAATGGTCAAAAACTGAAATCCTTCACACTAAAATCAGGAA